CTCCCAACCTTACCGCCAACAACCACCCGCACGCGCCCCACACAAAACACGTCCACTTTCGGATTTGACCCATTAATACACCATTTCCACGCTGAGTCCTTCAAGTATACTGTCGCCGTTACCCCAAGCGGTGTCGCCCCCGACGCTGCCTTATTCATCGGGGGGACTGCTGCTGCCTCCATTAGTGGAACTGCTGCCTCCACCGGAGGTTGATATTGGTCGTTTCCTACGCCAGTGGCCTCAGATCAAAGCCGATGCTACTAGTGACAATTCAGTGATGATTGCCGATGCCATTAAACGACTTGAAACGCTATTGGCGGAGTCGGAACCGCCGCAAATCGAGTGTATCGTCGACGAAGTGATAATCGAGGAGAAAGTGATTGAGGAAATATTGGCACTAGCAGCCGTCCCCAGTGAAGATAATAGTGATATGCAAGTTGTATCGGCTTCGGTAATCAGCTATATGACCCCTTTAGTCGCCGACCAGCTCTGTGAGCGCGAGTTAATCCCGACACTTATTGCTATGGTGCAAAACGGCGACGACCACCTCCAGCTGATGGCGGTGTGGAACTTGGCTCTGGTAGCCAGCTGGAGTGACGATTTACGGCTACAGATTATCGAACTGGGCCAGGTGGAAGTGGTTATTGACCTGACGCTGAAACCAGAGTTGGCGGGCGACGTGGCGCTTTTCCTCCAGAATTTGTGTCTGACCGCTTTAAATTTCGATAAAAATTTGGCTAAGCTTATGCTCGCGACCGCGGCAGCGATCGTGGTGGAATCAGATGATCCTCAAGTGGTGGAAGCTGGGTGCTGGACGTTGGAGCTGTTTCTGAAGCGAGGCGACGATGACGTCATCGCCATTGTCGCCATTGAAGGTCTAGTGGACCGATTAATCCATATTTTGAGACACGGCCCGCTAGAGACTCAGTTCCCCAGTTTACGGACACTCGCTAACCTTATGCTGGGCCCTGCTCGCCAGTGTCAAGTGGTGGTGGACGCCGGGGTTATCCCCGAACTTGGTATACTATTACACCACCCAAATCCAGTAATGCGCAAAGATTCCTGCTGGGCAGTATCTAACGTGTGTGGCGGTACCAAACCGCAAATCCAGAAAGTAATTGATAATGGTATTTTCCTAAGTCTTGCCGGTTTACTTATATTTGGCGAATACGCGACCAAACAAGCGGCCCTCTGGGCAGTAGCTAACGTGGTTATGGGCACCGAAGCTCTGGACCACCTGCTTTTGACGATTCTAAGCCGTCAGTTGATTCGGGGCGTTGTCCGGCTATTACGCGTCGATGAAGACGATGGCTCGTTGGCGATTGAGGCCCTCGAAGTGGTAGCGCAAATCGTCACTCGTGTACCTCTGATTAAACCCTTAGTATCTGAGGAAGGGTTGGCCTACTTGGAAGAGTGTCAAGGCGAAGGTGAAGTGAAACATCTACGCCGTAAAGCCGCCAAAGTGATCGCTACTCTTACCAGTTAGATGTGGTTAAAGGCCAGGGCTCGCAATGGAGGAAAAACCTGATGGCTGCGAAAGGTGGTGTTGCGAAAGGTACAATTTCGCGGAAAAAGCCGTGCCAAGAAGAAGCCGCGCGCACCTTTGCTGACCCCGCCACGTACCACTAAAAGTAATTGGCGAACGCCCTGCCCCTGGGAATTCACCTCGGAAGTCGTGGTAGCCAAAATCGGAATTGCTGAGTCATAGCTAAACTGAGTCATCCTTACCCCTAGCATTCCATTGACATACTTCCTCTACTCTTACATCATTGTAAATACGAGGCCAATAAATCAACATCTATGACTCATATGTGAAATTCGTGAGTCAAACTTAATCTTTTCCCTTCATTCGCTCTTACTCGTCTTAGTCGTATGTCGCGTCTTCCTTGCCCGCTTGTTGGCGCACGCACTTTGACCAGCCCGGGTTTTTCCCGTCTATTCCAAGAAATGCATTTTAAAATGGCTATATAACCGAGCTCATCCCGCCCCGATTTATGATTTCTTTGATTTCAAAAACTTATTGCCCACCATTAAGTGCCGATAACACTAAACCCTAAAACGTGATCGCTTCTCTCTTATACAAGATGACATTAGAGAAGGGCGACGTCGACATTACCAAGTTTCCCCACGAAATCGATGATGGCATCACTGATAGCGTCACCGAGGTGTTCGATCTGAGCGAGCTTGAAGAGGTTGAAGGCGACGCTGAACCGCTTAACGCTCCTCCCAAGGATAAAGGGTACGCGTGGGTGGTAGCCGTCGCTGGACTCTTGGGCCAATTGTGTACTTGGGGTTGCTTCTCGCTGTACGGGGTGTTTTTGCTGTACTATCTTAGTACCAACCCCGAAAATGTGCTGCCGTATAATTATACGTTGATTGCTGGTCTCATCTTCTTTTCCTGTGCCGTACTCGCCCCAGTATCTCTCATTGCTTACCGCCGATTTGGGTTCCGATGGGTAGCTGCTGGCGCCGTTGTCGGTCAGACTGGCGGCTACTTGATGGCCCTGTGGTCAACAAAGCTCTGGCAGTTATATTTGACTCAGGGGGTACTTGTGGGAGCGCTGGCGGTGTTTATCTATATCCCCATCACCAGTATTGTCCCCACTTGGTTTGAGAAATACTTAGCTACCGGTCAAGGGATCACCGGAGCCGGTATCGGTACTGGCGGTATCATTTTCTCGCTCACCATTAACGTAATGATTGAGAAGTATGGCGTGGGATGGGCTCTCCGTATGGTGGGAATGGTTTCAGGTTTTGCCGGAGCCTTAGCCGCTTTAATCCTGAGGGAAAGAGTGCCCACAAAGCGAGTACCGTTAAAGCAAGATATTAAAGAAGTGTTTGATTTCAGGGTATTTAATCTGGTACCGATGTACGCGTTGCTCGCGTGGTACTGTACCGGTTTTATTGGCAGTAACATGTTGCTTAATACCCTCCCCACTTATGGTATTGACCAAGGGTTACTGCCAAAACAAGCGCTGATCCTTTCCGCCACCATTAACGCCGCCCAGCTCATTGGCCGTCCATTGATTGGAGTATTGGCTGACCATTTAGGTCGTGTCAATTTTAGCATTTTCCTCAACGGCTATTTGACTATAGTCATGTGTGTGATGTGGCCGTTGAGTCACCTGTTTGGCGTGCTTCTTGGCTTTGCCATCCTTATTGGCCTTGGCTTCGGGGCGATGCTGACAATGATGCCGCTGTTGATGCTCGAAACTACCGGTGATCGGCGTGTTCTTGTCCCCGGGTGGGCTGGTTGTAACATGGCGTCGTCGATTTTCCAGTTGACGACCCCCACTGCAGCCATGGGCATCCGTAATGCCACCCACTCTTTCATCGTCAGTCAGGAGATTGGGGGCGTTTCCTTTGGCATTGGCTTTTTGGGCCTTTTAATCGTGCGGTGGTACATTATTAAAAGGAAAAACTTAGGCATGTGGCTGAAAATCTGAACCCTGGCGGTTGGAATAACTCATACGACATACTCGGCACCTATAGAATCATCATCGCTTCATTTTACATAATTCTTTAATTTTAATTTTACGAGCAATCCTCAGAAAACAGGGCTCGGATGAGTTATGATTATTATTTACTTTATGACAATGGTTGGCGAGACCTACCCTCGACCAGTAATTTATTACGAGGTGCATGGCGTAGAGAAAATCCCTAAATGCACCACTGGTTAAATTACAGCGAGGCTTATTCGTCGGAAACGGGTGCAGGTTGAACTCGACCCCTCCACCCCACCTCCACCTGAGCTATTTCATGTCTCCAACGGGATTGCTGCCAGTGAAATTTGAACCCGAGATGATGGGCTCAAGTCATACGTGACTTCAAAGACTGATGATCATCGTAAATCTTCAAGGCCAGATACCGTGGTGTGACCGCTGATCAATTTCCAGCGGGGTAGGTGACGCTTGTTTGAGACATTTTGTTGGTTTTTCCACCCCAGACACAACAAACCGTATACAACTCCGAAACCGCTCATCGCACGGCTTTGTGTCATGTAGCCGCTTTGGGTTACTTCCGGACATCATCAAAACTACAGAATCCAGCTCTTCTTGAATGGTATCAAATGCAGCCATATTCGAAAACAACGTTGTCCCAAACGGCAGAGAAGTGGCATGATTTTCTGCAGACACAGAGATTTACCAGACGGTACTTGCCTGGATGATGACAACCGCTTGAGCGGCTGCAGTCCAGGAATCAAATCACAATATGCTCGGCAAGCATCAACTGTGTTTCTTACGTTGAACCGTATGATTTCGACTCCAAAAACGTCTGATATTTTCCCTAATGAACTGGGAATTTCAGTTGAATGCCGACAGTAAATCACAGGCCGAACGGAATCGATTTGGAGATCTGAGCACAATTCAAACAATCTTGAGTCAGGAAACCAGATTGTTACCATGGACAGGCGTCGAGTTCCTGGGGTACTGATGACAATGGAAGTGACTGATTGAAGTGAATGTTTCGGTTCAAAGGGAATACACTTAACGAGACCTGATGAATTTGTCTACATATGATCAATTTCAGTTAGCTTTTAGGGACTGGATCATCACTTAAATGTCTTTAAAGTCACCAGCTACGCAACATCCGTAGGAGCTGAGGATAATAATAGTGATACAAGAAGTAGCTTTTCTGACGTAGTTCACGTAGTGTCTATCCAGTAGACTCCAACTAAGTTCCAAAACTTGATTTATAAGCAGACAGCAGTTTAACGAATTAACAAGTAGTATAACTTACTAAACGGTCCACGACCACCCACTCACCAAAAAGAAATTGGTCCGGACCACTCTGCAAACGCTCTCTGTCAAGGGTATTTTTTTCCCCGCCAAAAATCACACTTTTTCCCGTTACCGATAAAAGGACCCCCCACGTAATTATTACCGACGCCGATGATAGTAGCTGCGTCGACCAGGGTGCATGATATAATACGGGTATGCTGGCGCACCCAGCACGGTGTTGGTGGGACATCTGTTGGCTCGACATGCCCAGTTACTTTGTGTCTCTACTTGCCCTATTGATGCGTATTTCCGAATCAGTACTTAGTCCGTCTATCAGAATGCGGCTACCCCCATCGATAATTGTAGGTATGAGGCAGCGGTGATCACAGCTGGTACCACTAGTAGCATTAAGTTGCCGGTTAGTCAAATCGAGTGTCGGTTAGTAAGCGGCCAGTGGTCCGGGGAAGCACGCTGCGGGCCGCCTGTGGCCGCACTCCTCATGTACGTCGTCACGAAGACAACGTACAGCGAGGTGCGTGGCTCACGATGCGGGCTTACCTGCCAGCAGTAGTAGCCAAAGGTTTTTGGTGGTGCCACAAAGCGCCCCATCAAACGTCTGGGAGCCGTAGCGCTGCATGGGTCGGTGGACGCATTCCAATCGCCGAAGGGAGCAGGGCTGGCCCGGGACCACCATATTTTCTGGGGAACCCAAGGTAAACCGATGAGATCACCGACCCAAACCCATGAGCCCCGAGTCAAATATTGCGGCACTGATGTTTGACATTGATCACGTGACTTGGTGATCCATGGCGATCAACCGCGACGTGTTAGATCGACACTAAACCACCACGTTATTGACATCGATGAGGATCCAGCTATTTGCGGTGTTATTCGCCTCCGTGTGGGCACACGAGGTCCATGTTCCCGATAAGGCTAACGCCGACGACGGCGCTACCCTGAGACCTGCGGAGTGGGATGACTGGCACATGGCGGCGGAACACCACGTCGATCAATGGGACGCCGCCACTTTCTTTAAACTCCACGATGTCAGCGATAAAGGCTACTGGGACCAGCTGGATATCTTGTATATCTACGGTTTGGCCAAAGATAAGCTTGTTGGCGATGGTCTGGGGATGGGACAACACGACCACGGCCACGAAACCGTGAGTGCTGAGGATAAGGCCCGGGTTGTGAGCACTGTGCTTGCCTTGATGTCTACCGAAAATGATGGTAAAATTACGCCTGATCAATTTGCCGCGTTTGTGGCCCTGGGCAAGCACCTTCCTGATTTCGGGTTCGGTCAAGGCCACCACCTCGACTTTGAAGCCGAATATGAGGACCACCACTGGAACCAGTATCATCGAGATGCTGACCCTGATGTCTTAGTGAAACATAAAGAGGATATTGAGCACGAATTGCTCCACCATTTCCATGAGATCGATGAAGCTCATGATGAGGCGCCGGAGATTAGAGAGTATGCTCGCACCTACCAATCGCCGATTAAAGTGGAGAATATTAAGGCTAAGTATCGGAGATCCTGACTTGAAACCTGACTTGAAACCTGAGTTGAAACGAAGGTGAAACGAAGGGGAGATAAAGCGAGAGGAAATTGAGACAGTACTGAGTCTAAGATGAGATTAAAGTGAGACAATTTGGAGAGAAAAGTGAGACAACACTTAAATTGAGGTTAAGTCTGTGACTTAAAAGAAGTAATGTGTTTGACATGAAGATGGAAGGATACAAGATCCAGGTTAAGATGAAAGAATTGGTAAGAGAATGGTATGGATGGAAGGAGAGAGGATAGATGATAGAGTAAAGGTGATAGAATGACGAATAGATGATAAATAGAAGCAACAAACAAACATACGTACATTTAACTTCATCAAGACTTTCCTAGTACAGATGAGGGATTGACAAGATGTTAGTGAATCTGATGGCACTTATATTCTGTGTAAGGTTTAGTAGACACTAATGTTGTTCATCAGTATACAGCTAATTTTGGCTCTGATAGTCACTGATCTGCGCACTGTTGAGAGGTCCAACAGCTGACGGTTGTTTCAAGTAATGTTTCATTAGCATGCATTAAGATATGAATTAGTTGGCCAAGTGAGGGGGCAACAAGAAGTTAGGGATCGAGTTCTTGATATAGTAGACGTGGTGGCACGAGCGGCACTCCATTTTCCCCTCGATGATTTGCGTTTCAACCAAAAGGGTATGGAGATCCTTAAGTACGGCCTGGTCGTCTTCCATGATTGGATCAAGCCCCTCCGGTTTCAGGGCAGGTAACAGCGAGTTGCCCAATTGGCGAGCCACTTCGACGACGGCGTCCCAGTCGAGCCGCTCCAACATGTGGCAAATGAACTCCGGGTTATAGTCGACTTCCTGCTGGACCATCTGGCAGTCCAGGTAGCTCAAAGGAAAGGCGGCATCCAGCAGCTGGCACCCGCGGACAGCACACTTGACGAAGTTGGTGGTGAGGAACTTCATGCGATGAGATGGGCGCGCGAAACACGGATGAGTGGTGGTGGAGACTGGAAGAGAAAATTTGGGATAGGGCAGACGAAATAAATTAAAATTATCAGCAAATGACATTTTGGAAATCAAATATGTATACACTATTTAGCAAATAGTCGTCTATTTGATTTTGTTTAAGTTAGGTTATTAGTTGGAGACAATATGCTTATTTGGGTTAAACCTTTGGCACTGTCAATGCCGGTTGGCGGGTTCGAGTCCCATTTGTCGTATTTCACTTAAACTTGAAGGGTCTGATGCTGTGGTTGATGAGAATACTCAAAGCAGTGATGTGGGGCAAAGGACTTGAGGGTATCTTGAATGATGGCCATCGTCGCTGTTTTTGAATGAGGGCTAGTTCTTTTGAGCGTAGGTTCACATCATATCAACAGTGTAGAGCTGCATTTAGTATAGCTTTCATCCTTGTAGCGATCTTACTCCCATCTTGTATAGTCAGTGCTTGTTCTATTGGTTTGTACGGTTTAATGATTCTTATCGTATCCCCACTATCTATGGTGAGCAATAGAGTCTTTCTATTTGAGGTTTCGTGGTTTGTTGTAGGTTCTATTATTCATCACTCACCAATAGTTGTAGATCGCGGTAGATAACCACGGAGATCACTGGCAAATATCATATCCTTGAGGGCCTAGATAAAGAAGAAGAACAAACTCCTTCATTTAATAACGATTAATTGGTTTTAGCAACAACATTCAATAACCATTAATTGGTTCTGGCGACAACGGTTCCACCATCTAGTCTCAGCTGAGATATTCTACTGGCCAGTGCCTACTTGTTGGTTCTTCAATAACCACCAACTAGTATCCAGGTCTACTCTTCCGGTCAAAGTCGCTGGTCTGTTTCACGTACCTTTCCAATTACGACGATTCCCGAGTTTGTGTTCTGTAGGTGAGCGAAAGCAAGTGACTCTTCAGGCACCCCCGATCCAACCTGATCTAGCACAACAAATCTAATTCTATCTATATTGTTCGTCTTTGAAACGCCTACCCCTTTTCTGATACACTCTGCCTACCTCTTTGAATATCTCTCTTTTTCTTGGTTGCCTCGGCAACAATGGTCGGCAATCAGGGTCCTGCCAAAAAAAAACTGCCAAAAAAAAATGCCAAAAACAGCGCTTGCGTCGGCGCTCTTGGCACTCCCAAATACGATTGCGGAAAGGACAATGGGCGATCGCCTGCCCCCGTTGCCGCCTTATAAGAGGATCGGGCCCTGAGCCAAAAATCCCTTGTTCGCCCCCATCTAAGTCGATGGCTGACTAAGCGACCGTTTGCCTTAATTACTGGTAGATCGCTACAGCTGTTGAGCGATGTATTGCTGGGTCGTTTGCCGGCAGCCGGAAATCCCGCGCCGACGCCGCAATCCCGCAACCCGTGCCTTACCGATGCGGAAGATATCCGATACTGGGATCCATCGATTAACCGGTCCATCCATTCTAGCAACCTATAGTCTCTTTATTCTCAAACCTCTATTGAATCACTATCTACGTAGTCTCGTCTTTGCCAGCGCCTGCGCTGTGCCTGGCGCGCCCCCACCTTTCGGTCTCTTACCCCCGACTGATAAACCCTGACAGGCTCTACTCCAACAAATAAAAAAACAAAAAAACAATCACTGAGGCTAGCTACTATGCCCTACATGCTTCCTCCCGTGTGTTACCCGCTGGCTCCGGCGGCGGCGCCGGGGCGCTGGCGGCGGCGCCGTGGCGCCGGGGGCGCGGCGAAAAAGCGTCCAGGTGTCCCCCGAGAAAGTCGCACCCCACCCCATACCAGCTATCGCCAGTGATGTTTGGCGACGACTTGCGGGCGCCCCCCGCCATCAAGGACGACGGCGTGATGCGGCGGACACGGCTGATCCTGTTGCTGCGGTGGTTCCGGTCGGACACGCTGGCGCCGCCGCTGCCGCCGCCGCCGCCGGTGCTGGCGCCGCCCTTGCCAGTGGAAGTCACCCCTGACCCCGAATACAGCCCCGATATCCCGCCTACCGAGCCTGTGGGGGAACCGCTCGCTCAACCGCAGACGAATAAGCCGCCGTTGGTCAAGCTCCGGTCGTTTTTCCGCATGTCCCAGCCCCCCGAGCCATTCCCGTCAGTTGACGATAATGGCGACAATCTCGCGGCAAACGAAGCCAATATAGCGACGCCACGGGCTCCGAGTGTCCCTAACAGTAAGCTGAAGCTGCTGGGCCTGGCGCTGGACACTCCCCAAGCCGCTGGAGGTGGTTCGGTCGACCGCCCTCCGCTGGCGCCGCTGGACCCTAGCGAAGACCAGGATTCGCTGACCCTGTCCCACAACTTTATAAAAGTCGACAACTTGGTCAAATTGCTCTTGCGCAAGCGGGCGCTGTCGCTGCCGCTACAACTGCATATCTCACCCGAGGGCGATGGCGATAACGAGGCGGAGGCAAAGCCAGCGGCGAAACTGCCGCTGCCGCCGATGCCTCAGTCGCCGCCGAATCCGATGGACGCGTCGAGACGCCAGCTGGTCCCGCTTTCATCGCCAAAAATAATGGCGCCGACGGCGCCGTCAGCGCCGCCCTATGGCGCCAGCGCTGGCTACAGCGCCGGCTATGGCGCCGGCTATGGCGCGAACGCCGGCGACGTCGCTTCTGGCCAAGCGGCGCCGGTCCTCTCCCTGACCTATTTCCAACACCAAGGCGTCCCTCCCCACGCCGAAACCGACCAATTGGTACCGCCGCGCCAATACTACGATAACGGCTCCGGCGTCCAAGTACAATTGCGCCACCACGACTCCGTCGTCTCCCTAGGCGACGGCGCCGACCTGAACCAGCCGCTGCCGCGCTTGCGCCCTCGTCTGCCAGAGAAGAAGCCGCCGATGATCCCCGAGGCGGCCGAAGCGCCGGTGCGCGCCTCCGACGACCTGATTGGCATGAGAGCCTATACTCCCGAAGACCATCCCACTAGCACCAGTACCAGTGACCAGACGCTCGAGCCACCTGGTGGATTGGCGCCGCCGCCAGCGCGTACTCCCTTGCAGCGGACGTTGCGACGAGTGGCGCTGGCGCCGTTAGTGCTGAAGCTTCTTAACGACTCTAGCAGTCTGAGCGCCGCCGCCGCTGCTGGAGGCGCTACCGGCGGCACTTCCACCACGGGAGCGCCCACACTTCCTTTCGCCTCGGGCGCTAACGGCGCTAACGGCGCTGCTGACGAACCGTTTGACGTATCCAAACACATTGGCGAGATATCCGTGCGCCCCAGAACGTATACCCAGGAAAGAATGTACCTGACGGCTGCCACCAAAGTGGTTGACGCCCAGGTGGATATCGACTGCTTTGAGAAGCTTAGACTATTGGGTAAAGGCGATGTCGGCAAAGTGTATCTTGTAAGAGAGAAAGTGCTGGGCAAATTGTACGCGATGAAAGTGCTTTCGAAGAAGGAGATGGTCGAGCGGAATAAGATCAAACGGGCTTTAGCAGAACAGGAAATCCTCGCAACGCTGAACCACCCTTTCATTGTCACGTTATACCACAGTTTCCAGCTGGACGAAGCGCTTTATTTGTGTATGGAGTACTGTATGGGCGGCGAGTTCTTTAGAGCTTTACAAACCAGACAAACTAAGCTGGTGAGTGAGGCTGATGCTCGGTTTTATGCCGCTGAAGTCACCGCTGCTTTGGAATACCTCCATTTGATGGGGTTTATTTACCGTGATTTGAAACCGGAAAACATCTTACTCCACCAGCTGGGCCACATTATGCTTTCCGATTTCGATTTGCTGAAACAACTGGGGCTGGCAAAATCGCCAGGAATGGCCGTGGGCCTTAACCATACTCAAGTGGTGGATACTCGCGCCTGTGTTGATGGGTTCCGCACCAACTCCTTTGTCGGTACTGAAGAGTATATCGCTCCCGAAGTGATTAGAGGCAATGGCCATACCGTTGCTGTCGACTGGTGGACACTTGGGATCTTCATCTACGAGATGTTATTTGGTACCACTCCATTCAAAGGGTCTGACCGTAAACGGACGTTTGCCAACATCTTGAAAAAGGACCCTAAGTTCTTGGATACTCAGCTGATCAGTCACAGTTGTAAGAACTTGATTAAAAAGCTTTTGATCAAAGATGAGGCGAAACGGTTGGGGCTGAAGCTGGGCGCTCTGGAAGTGAAAAACCACCCGTGGTTCAAACTGACCCAATGGGCGTTGTTAAGACACCAGAAGCCGCCGATGGTTCCCGTATTCACCAAACTGACTCGACAAGGACAACCGCAACGCCGTCTCGACGACCTGGAGGACCAAGGAAGAGCGTATACGCCCCAGGCGGGGTCCGACGACCCGTTTGCCCAGTTCTCGCTGGTGACGCTACACTATACCGAAGGTGACCACGAGGACGGCGACATCACCGTGGGGGATGTCGACGGCGCCCTGGTCCGCTACGTGTAGTTTTTTTTTTCTTTTTTTTTGGGAAGAAAACTACAATATTGCATATATTATGACTTATAGATAAAACGATGTAAATGAAACCATGATCACAAGTTAGACTTAAGACGGTAAAGTATCTCTCGTATGGTGGTACTAATTCTATGGATCTGGTGAGATTGTATGAGATCAACACTACCGTTTCATTCGGTTCAAATATTTAATCTGAAAGCGTCTGTTTGATCGTTTGACACAATCTTATTTTCTCCATAAATGACTGTCCTCCGTGAATGATTAGAGGCGGTGCAAAAGGTCCAAGCTTAGGGGGAAACTTGAACGGTAAATATCGTCAATTTGAGAGGTGGTGGCTGACAAACGGGTAGCTTAGAAAAGGGAAATGGCTAACCACTAAGTTACTGCTCGAGAAGGAATTGTACTAGAATGATTGCTTCTGGCAACCGCGCTTCTTACTAGACTAAAATAGATAGTATTTGGTTCCAACAATAACGGTAAAATTAGACCAAGCTTAAAGTTGATGGTTGGTTCTAACATCAACGCTCGTCCTCTTCTTTAACAGGTAATCTATAGTTCATAGTTGGTTCTAGCAACAACAGTTTACTTGACTAGGCTTTAAATAAATAATTGGTTCTAGCAACAACGGTCCCACTCCACTTTACTAAACAGAGAATAGTCCAAAACTGGCTCTAGCAACAACTACTGAACTAAGCTGTAAACTAATGGTTGGCAACATCGGTAAATTGGATCAAAATTAATGGTGCGACCAATGACGTCATCGAGATCAGATATAAACAGTCTACAATCACAGTAAGAACCACAACCCAGTAGAATGTTGACGGTTACTTCCGTTTGGGGCATGGTTGTCGGGCTGCAAAACCCCGACGGTTATATCCTATTCTCGTCGTGGCTTTGTATCACATTTTTACCCCATGGACGGCCTCGTATACTGCTCGTATTTGTGGGGTTGGAAGCGTGGTGTTTGTTGTGGTGGCGAACCCGCGGTGGCGATGCTTATATACAGGAACAAAACACTCACACGAACACCAAACCTTCACCGAGTCTACCCTCACTCCATCGGCCTTCAGGCGTGCGCTGGTGTTTCATGTTCCGTGTCATGATGCGGAGGACGCGCTACGTGGCAATCATCCTCATTGTGGCAGCAGTGGTGGTGTTCTCCTTATGGCGCCCCCCTCACAAAAACACGCTTACGCCGCCGGCTGATTTCGAGGCTAACCAGGCTAAACAAGGACGCCAGTATACGTTTAACCTGTTTGGGGGTTCCCTAAATATCGGAAATGCTATGGATCGGTGCTCAGAGATCAGTATTGGCCACAATACTACCATTACTGATGAGGGTGCCATAGCGTTCGATGTGGCGTCGTTTCTCACCAGATTTGAGTCAGAACTTGAGGAATGGCAGCTTGCGATGGCTACTACGGTATCAGAACAAATCACAAAGGATCAATGGAGTCATTGGGAGCGTTTTGGTGGTCTGGCCGTCTACTTAAATGACGACGTTTTGGTGATGGCTCTGAGGGTGATATACTCCAAAACTGGAGACCGACGCCAACCCCAGCTAAGCTTAGTGCTTGTAGAAGCCATGGATAAAGCAGGAAACTCATTGGAAGAGGTCAATGGTATCAAATACCCTTACTTGTTACCGGTACCATTTACCGTGGAAAATGACCAGTGTGCGGGACCAGAAGACCCTAGGGTGGTGAAAGCTGATGATAAAGTGTTTGTGGTGTTTAACATGTGGTCTGACGGCCAGAGACGGATGTATTTGATGCCATTATCTCCTGACTCCCAACCCGTTGAATTAAGGCTCCCCGCGGCTGGAAATGACTCGAATCGAGCCGAAAAGAACTGGACACCGTTCTACGATGCTAACCATCCCAATACATTACAATTCGTTTACCGGTGGGAGCACTTTCAAGTGGTAAGGTGCTCTTTAGGTAGCGGAGAATGTACCCTTGTTACGGGCTCAGAAGCCGATTTATCGCGTCCGATACTGGCGATGAGAGGCGGCACTCCCCTTATCCCTGTAAACGGAGGCTGGTTGGGGTTTGCCCGCGCCCATTTGCTCGACTGCGGCTGTGGATGGGAGACCTATAGGCCCAATTTGGTGGCTATAGCGGCCAATAATGATGGAGGATATTGCCTAAGCGACGTCAGTGGCTACGTCGACTTTGACGTGGCGATGACGCTGTGGGAAGGCGAAGGGAACGTGTGTGACATGAAGGCAATGAGACCCAATGCCATGGTCCCCACGGGGCTAGATCTTGACGGGGACGGGCATTTAAGGCTTTGGTATAGTGTTAACGATCAGGACGTGGCCTATTTGACCCTTGATAAGCTGTTTATCGGCCAAATATCTCCTCAATGCCGTCTGGAAGAGCTGCACTTGTACTGTGCCCTCGGCGAGTCCTACCAGCGGTGTACCGATTATTTCTTCAAGTACGGTGTGGGAGAGTACTCCGAGTATCATTGATTATTGAAGCAATGATGGTATAGTGGGGATAGTGTCCACGTGACTTATGAGGATGTTAGAACCAAGGAAACACGCCTCCTGAGGCTGCCACTGAAGCTGACGATGCACTGGATGTCATAGAAGACAAACGACTGATATATTCTGAGTGATTGAGAACCGTACCGGTCTAATTTCATGGGATAATGGAGGACTATTGGCTCTATGAGTGTGTGGCCTACTATATGGCTAATTGCTTACAGAGCCGGAATATGACTATAGCCAGCTGTTATTGGGGGTGGTTGGACTGCACACAAATGCATTACATCCTCTATTTCGTGGTTATTGTCGGTGTTTGGTGGCATAAATTGTGCAGAACTGGGGGGTTCCCAATTAGGTAATCGAGAGAGTACAAAGGTATACCTTACATATACTGATCCGCTAAGAAACGCGGGTCTCCGCGGAGAGGGGGAGGAGTGGGGAGATTGGCGCCACAAAATCACGTAATCGGGGTCGGTGGAGCCGATTATAATGGTATTATTTGTCTGCCTCTTTGTTATTCGTGATGATGATGATGCTGACTAATCGAGGGTGCTGGCTTATGTGATCACCCACCGCTGCAATAAATTACCATAACTACTGGCTACCACTCAGACTACTACTACAATTTGATGTCTTTTCCTTAGCTGGTCAGTCATGTAGATAGCATATAATTTGGGTGTTCTCGGAGGTTAATCTCCTCATAAACAGATTACCCCAAAACCGCTAAAACTTGATGGACACTGGTGTAATTGGTTTTGTGATTTATAAGCGACGAACTGAGGGGTAACGCACGGGGTCGTCGTTGTCTGTATAATCCTAGCAATTGCTTATCTAATCAGTTTTTACTCGGGACACTCGGCTGGTAGCGATAGGCCGAAAGGGCGGGGGGGAAAAAATCAAGTGTGTGTGTTTTTTTCCGGTTTCGGCGGCCGGTCTAAAAAAAAAAGAGGTACCAGGGCTCATAACAAGGTCATAATACAACTGAACGGTAACCATGCCCCGGTGAGCGCCCGCACCAGAAAAAAAAAAAAAACACACATAGCTTTCAGTGCTCTTTTATGGCCGATCCCCACCCTCCAACGACGCCTGATTACGATGGCGGGGTGATTTTGGTCACTGACCAATCACCGTCGACTGTATGGTTTCATCTGTCACATATATGAACCAGTGGGGTTTCGTGTCAGAGGGTTGATTCAGGGGGTGTCAGCTGAGACAACTGTTGCTACGAGCAACAGCACCCGAAACACCGACCCGCGGCTTAGTTAGGGGCTACGCTTCGAAGCAGCCTCAGGCAGGCTTCGGAACAGCAACGGATGGTGAGGCGACGGCGTAGGCGAATATTTTCCCTCGACGTGCAGGACCCACGCGCAAGGCGGGCGCCGTGCATTGCCGTTAGCCATAATTGGCGAATCGCTTTTATCCCCCCAAGTACCACCAAGGCACGATAAATATCAAAAGAAATGAACTAAACGGACGAAAATAGTAATGATACTAAGAAGTGATGGTTAAATAATAGGCGGGGTAGATCGGCTGGATTAGACTCGTATTGGGGGGCATTTTCCGCCCCGCCCTTTGTGGATAACCCCCCACTTTACGAAAAAAATAATTGCGCCGATTCAGCAGTGGGGGGCACGCAATATATGCATGGATGTTCGGCCGTAGCGGCCGCTGCAGCCCCTTCGGCAGCTACCCACCACCTACTAAATAATATTATTTCTCGCCGAGGGCGTTACGCCGCCCCAGCGCTCGCTCACCCATAATAATAATTATTCTCTAAGTTGACAGCTTTTACGTGGGTGCACGTCATATTTAACCGGGGGGGTTCGCTGGGTGTCGCTTGGCCTCGGAACAGCGCCCTCTCGTTTTCCCAAACACTCACCTCCCCGTCGCCCCGCCAGCCCCTGTGCCAGCCCCTGTGCCAGCCCCTGTGTCAACACCCCTGTGTCAACCCCTCGCAACAGTGGCTTACACGTAACTCCTCAGCGGTCCTGGGCGCCTTCCTCTCCCCCCCGCGGTCGTCTCGATGTTCCCCGTGGCCCTCTCGCGGTCATCATTCCCTTTCCCCCAGCAGTCTCCGCCGTTGCCGCTGGCGCCGGCATCGTCGCACCACCCAATCAACCTGTCGCCCCGCGAGCCGCCGGCGCCGGCGCCCAGCGCTCGTGGCGCTAATGGCGGCGCTCCTCTGGCGCTAATGGCGCCGCTACTGGCGCCGTCGTCAGCGCCCCCACAACTCCCGCCGCTAGATAACTCGACGTTCATGCACCGGCTACCCGTCCCCCACGGCCACCAGCTGTCGCCGCACCAGCTGCCGCTACCAGCGCCGCCGTCGGGACTGAATTCAGCGTCCTCGGCGCCCTCTACTCAGGCGCCACCCGCGCCAGTAGCACCGCCGGGAGCACCCATGGCGCCGATGATGGCGCCGGGAGCAACTTACGCACCGCCCCCGCCCAGCATTCCAGGGGCGCCGGCGCCGCTAGTGGCTTCGATGGCGCCGCCGTACGGGGCGCTCATGCCAGAATACCCGCTGTACACCCACACCTACTATCCCAACTACTACCCGTACGTTGATGCCAACGGGCTGTACTTTGGCATGGCGCCGATGGCTGTGGCGCCGATGGTCCTGCCTGGAGCGCCGTCGGGAGCGCCGCCGGGAGTCCCGATGATGGCGCCGGGAGCAGGCTACGCCCCGCCGGGAGTAATGCCGGGAGTAGTACTGGCACCCCACTCGGCCCCGTTGCCACGCAAACGACGGCCGACCACGGGCTACGACATGAAGCCGGAAACCGCCGAGCGCAACCGGTGTCGCATTTGCCATAAGCAGTTCAAACGGCCGCTGCTGCTCCAGACCCACTACTACAGCCACACGGGAGAAAAGATCTTCAAGTGTCCCTGGGCCGGTTGTGGCAAGCAATTCAGCGTCAAACTGAACATGACGAGACACTACCGCCTCCACGAGCGAGAGCACCAGAAGCCCGACCCGTTTTGATCGGAGCACGCCTAGCATTATATGAGTGACGAAATATATAGCCTTAATTACTATAGCTAATACGTTAATAAACTAACGATATCAAATGGAATTTATATATGTAGATTTCCGTTTCACTCGTATTCTTGTCGCCGGCATTTGGGGTCTCGTTTACGGTGTCAATCGAACGACTAACACTTTGTCGCTATGCATGATGGCCCTGCATTGGCCGAGGTTTCTATTATCCACAAACTCCAACATGACGAGCACTGAGACTGGGTTGATTGTAGATGAGGCATGGGTTGGTCAATTGAGTAGTGTAAACTGAAAATTCACTGATGTTTCCATAATTCTTGTACGTTGGTACTTTGTTTGACTAACGCCAATTGTTTATGCTTTTTGAGAGCCATGGCTTTAAAATATGAATAACGTGGCATTCATGTTAAGTTTGCTTGGATTGCAGTCATGGTTTTGATCATATTCTCGAGGTTCTGGCCATTCGGTCGATTTGGAGTTGAAAAACGACAAGAGTTATCGGCTTCCAGAATCGCTTGCAAAGATGTTTGCGTAATTACCGACGATGATTCCTCGATCAATTACTAACAGTTGTTTGTGATTTGATCTTTGCATTGTGGCATGCTTCGACGACCAACGGCCTTAGTAAGAATCGAGTCTAAAACCCAAAGTAGTGATATCGTCAGACCGATGCCACACATTAGTAAAACAGCTTGGAAGTGCAAATTCGCAGGTACTTCAATCAGGTTTAGTAATTAGCGAGTTCAATCTTAGACCTCATCACACTTCGGTTCGCTAATTGTTTCTGCCATTTTTGCTTGTGTAAAACAAAGCATTCGAGAACGGGATAAGGGTGCATTGGCCAGCGGATTCCTTCGCCGTCATTATCAACATGTTTCCACATTTTTAGGATGGGTTTTGGTCTGACTCATGCTCTCGCAAATGGCGAGTGCATCAATTCAATCAAATTCCAGACCCGAAAAATCCATATATCATTTGTTGGAGGCACAAATTGGCAATAGTCAAGGTCAGGCAAGCAACGCCTAGACACATTCAGCTTCGTCAAATCCAGTAGTTGTTCTCTGGGATGTTTTCAACTTGCTGAGCTCGAGCAGAGCGGCTTAGGGCCTGCGTGAATTTGGCCAAATTAATGTTACACAAACCTGCGGGTCCACCAGCGAAGTAAATTTATTGCAACCAAGGGACCTACAGGGTCCTCTAAGAACATGCTGACGCTTACAATGATACAGGGACCCCTAAAAATTCTCGGATCCACAGAGGCGTCACGGTACCCTTCACCGACGCAACCACTGACAATAGTCCATAAACTAAGCGGGTTTAAAGGAAAGGACAGATCAAGCGAGATTGACAACACCTGACTTCCCAATCCCACTAGCTATATTGCCCAATGCTGTCTAACCTCAATGAACCCTCAGTTTCATCGAGGTATTGGCGTGGAGGTCATAATATCGGCAGATAAATTTCAGGCAGCCGGTTGCGGTGATTTGCTCACCGAAGTCATGTACTGGAACAACAGGCACCATCGTCCGTCGATTACACTTTTTAGAAACCTAAAATGGATAATTGTCACTGCGATTTGCGGGTGAGCACCGCCGATCCCTCAGGTGGGCTCTATTGACTGGCGAACGCCACAAAAGCTTAAATTTGGGTCCCCAACGAAAATAATCGGCAACCTGCAGCATGTGCTATTTAGCCTAAACTGGCTGGGGACCGCCAATCACGCTCGTTTATGAAGCCAATCGTGGCCTTAGCGGCAATAAAAATACATAGGGTATATTCTTGACATAGTAAACAACCCTGTCAGTTGCTTTAGCTATCATATTTGCCGTCATTGTCCCCATAATTGCTTGCTTTGACCCATTACATAAGCGAGGTGATAAGGCAACGCCATGCATAGAAGCCTCCACGCTGTTGTCTGGACCACTCGCGTCGCCAGCCATCTCGTCGGAATTAAGCCTTACCCTAAGTGCATCTTTCGATCGGGGAATGGCCCACGATCTCTCGCGGGGTCTTACGTCATCGTATCCGCTAACCTGCCACACTTTCACTGCTAAGGATTTACCATTGAACTGGGGGATATGGACGATCTTCGTTCCTGGCGGATCATTTGGCTAAGGCGAGCCAGCTTGTGGTGCCGGACCCCTTGCGTTTCTTGGGGCCCTGATGAACATCACTGGGACTCAAACCATCATCGAAGGTTTAGCCGGGTCTCCCATGTGGTTTTCTTCCGTCGCAAATATGGCGGCTGTAATTGAGGTGTGGCCGACGATGTTCCGGGCTCAGTTCGCCGGCGTAGGTTAAAGCCTTCGGAAATGTAATTGGCTTTTTCCTTTGTGCTCGTGTAGCCCGTGTCATTGTCTTTTTCGCGGGTGACGTCAGCGGGAAGAAGGTTAAAACGAAACGCATCGACGACATTCTCCCCCCGCAAAGAAACCACCACCCACAACAACAACTCTAAGAGAAGAGGTTGGTTGGTTGGCTCAGAGCGTTGGTTTAGTGGAGGGGGGGAATTGTTCTCCCCCCCTGTCGATACGAGGTCGCACGGGTTGACCTGCGGGAATTTTACCCCTGACTTCGTCTATACTTTCTTTTTTCAACTTTTTCCCAACTGCTGCTGTAAAATTGGAGCGTGTCGCCGGGGCCGACGCCTGGGGTCATTAATGACGCAAGCGGCTCGAAGCTCGGTACAGCCTCGTCGGCAAAGCCGGAGTTGTGTACTGATACAGCCTTATTGTGCGAGGAGCAATATAGCCGGGAAGCATGTGAATACGAGATGAATAATTGGGGGGAGGGGGTACGTCGCTATCAGCATCGCAAATCGCGAGCGAACACCACCGTTCCTGGTGCCTGGTGGAATCGAAGTAGCCCGTCCTAAGTGGATTGCGATTTAGAGTTTTGAGGACAGATGACAATTGATGCGTGTACAAGTAGATCAGACTATATTCACCAAGAAAACACTAATCTTTTCTTTATCTGTTGAGTGACGTGGGGCCGGGTGTAGTGGTTACAGTCGTCAAGATCACAAAAGGCTGGTTTGTGGTAACAAGGGATTATGGCTCAGCTTAGTCGCTATGATAGGTAATGGTCTGTTCCCGTGGAACCTTGAAAATTCAAATTGAACTACTGCCAGACTTCACTCAAAATTGTGTATGGATTACACGTAGGTGGATTTTCAAACTGGACTCTCAACTTGCTGACTTGTTAATACAGTCAAATCGCGGGACTCGATTTTGGACAGTTGAATAATGCACATCAATTAGCGAGACTATGATTATCAGCTTCTACTCTAGGAATAATTCTCTAGGGGTTTGTGAAATGGGCCTCTCCCCTCATGGTTTTGAGGTTTGATTCAACACGTTGGAACGCGTAAATTATGAATATTTATTGAAGAAAATTTGATCACCTGTTTTGCCGTTAAAATCGATAAAAGTTGCGGATCATGCACATCAATCATGTAAACGAGATTTAAACAGGTGACCACAAGCAAGGAATGAAAGGTACGTGTGGAGCCGGGAAATCGTGTAGTAATTTTTTCAAACGTGTTCCTTAAACTAGAAGTTGATGCTGATCTGAGCTCCTCATTAATATCTTGAAAATGTCAGATTCCGATAAAAAATAACAGCAAGCAAGCGTGACGATCGCTCAAATTGAAAAGCAAACATTGCGTGATTTGTGGCCTATCTAATAGACACTGCAATAGCCACTCTTAACTATCATTCTGGGGCTATAGCCTCTCCAGTTTGGGCAAATCTCGTGTATGCACATAAAGATTCACGCAAATTTTTATCACGGATTTGTCGAGCCAAATCGTTGTGAGCAATCGAATCTCAATGAGGAAAAAATCTTAGCCGGTTGTCAATCGCCACCAGGGTAAACCTTAACTCGGTGCAGTGGCGGCGGAAGCTGCTAGTCGCCTCATTTTTCTTGCCAGCCTCAGGGATGGCGCCATAAGTTGCCGAACCTTAAACGTGGGCAGAACCTCATGATTTACCGCCAGCGATGGCATTGGGCGGATGCGCTCTGCACAGTGAACCCTTTCAAAGGTGGTTGATCATCAAGGTTTTCATTTAATGTGCACTAACTCTGATTCCCGAGATCAACACTCATAGATTGGAGTACAGTTTATGTTATCTTCAAAATTCACTCAGTTAAGCCCAAGTATCAAACCAAGCTTCAAATTGTTCATTCCAAAACATGCCAGGTTCAAACTTCTGGCCGAGGCCCCCACCACTCGGGTTCGCCTGACTTTTTTGACCGCCTCAGCAGCTAATTTTGCGAAGCGTGGCCTTCTGCCGAGATGAATGTAGAGAAACAATATTAGTGACAACATGTGATTGTGTTTTAGTGGTGTATTTAGCAGTTTACTACCTTGTCTTCGGTTATTAGCGGCTACAAGCGGCGTGGATTCAGTTGGTATTAATGAGTCAAGAGTAGTCATAACTGATCACCCACCTGCACGCCGTCACCTCCATCTCTAAATTGACTCGTACCCTACTTCACCAGGGTTTGCGCTTAACCTTTGGCTTTGTGTCGCTTCGTCAAAGAGGATATAACTTGTCGCGGGTAAGACGTAGGGTCCTTTTTACGCCCGCATTATTCTCCCATGCACCAGGGGCTATCTGCCCGTTTGGGCTAGACCCGGCGTCATGCAAATCACGGTACAGTATGTGGTGTGATGTTGTGCTTGCCGTCGTATTTCGATCCCCATGGGGACTGGGGTCGTGTGGCGGGTCAATAATCACGGCAAGGATCGGCACCACCAAGCCAGCCAACGGTCGGAGATCGTCCCCCAACCCCTAGACCAACCAACCACTAGAGCCAAGTACCAGAAACTTGTGAAACCAAACAAATCAAGCAGTTACTCGTCGACTGTTTTCCTTCTGTTTCAGTCTCAGGGTTTGCTTTTGTCAGGGTTGAAAATAGCATGCTCTCTGGGCAAAAGTTTTTGTTGGGCCTGATCGGTTTATTATCCCGCTTACGTCAACCGGATTTCAGCTCTGTCATCGGGGCTATATATATCGGTTTTCAGCAACATTTCTTATACCCCACTTCAACTTTCAGCTGACTTTGTCAATGACACCTGAAAAACAAAAAAAAAAAGTCGAGTTGTTTGCTATTCGAGTTTCCATGATTCTTTTTTTCTCTCTAAGTCGCACACCTGCATATAATCCAAGGGTGTCGCACTACTCAGTGGCAATCATCCACAAAAGCTAACCAAGGACACAACCCATTGCTTTCAACCCGCCCCCACCGCCAACAAACCATGTCCCGTGCGGCCGAGATCTTAAGCAAAATCGCCATCCCCGCCGGTGTTGCGATTACGCTCGCCCAGAGCGCCCTCTACGACGTCCCCGGCGGTAAACGCGCCGTGATCTTCGACAGAATCAACGGGGTGCAAAACACCGTCGTCGGCGAGGGGACCCACTTCCTCGTCCCCTGGCTTCAAAAAGCGGTCGTCTACGATGTGAGAACGCGTCCTAAAACCATCAGCACCACCACTGGGTCCAAAGATTTGCAAACTGTGTCAATTACTCTTAGAGTGTTGCACCACCCCGAAGTGACGGAATTGCCCAAGATCTACCAGAGTTTAGGGCTTGACTACGACGAAAGAGTGTTGCCCTCGGTCGGTAACGAAGTGTTGAAGAGTATCGTGGCTCAATTCGATGCTCTGGAGCTTATTACTCAGAGAGAGCTTGTGTCGGCGCGGATCCGCCAGGAACTCCTGCGTCGATCGGGCGAGTTCGGCATCGACTTGGACGATGTCCTGATTACCCACATGACCTTCGGACGTGAGTTTACTAAGGCCGTTGAGCAGAAACAGATCGCTCAACAAGACGCTGAACGGGCGAAATACCTCGTGGAAAAGGCTGAGCAGGAAAGAAAAGCCAACGTTATCCGCGCTGAAGGTGAAGCCGAGCTGGCCGATTTGGTGCTGAAGGCGTTGGCAAAGTCGGGTGACGGGTTATTGATGATCAGACGGTTGGAAGCGTCGAAGGATATCGCCACCACGCTTGCGGCGCTGCCCAACGTGACCTACTTGCCCGGTAAAGGTGAAGGCGACGACGGCAACAGCTTGTTGTTGAACGTCGGTCGCTAGTGTACATAGAAATGAGTGACGACTAGGATTAATGTATATAGTGTAGGCAAGGTTAACATCTTGTGATTATTCCAGATCGTGGCAATTGAGTTAGTTAGTAGATTGATCAATCCAGACTGGTCATTGATTAAATTTTTTACATCGACCAGTGAATTGCGGTGACAGTTGCCATCCCTGAGGAGTATATGATGAGGGGGCAGTACAAGAGAGCAAGCTCCCCACAAAGAGGTGATCTAAACACGAAAATATAACTGAACTATCATTGAATCACATTATAAAAGTTAGTTTGTTTGAGACATTTGGTTTCGCTTATGGTTTCCTAAATCTCCAATTACTTTTTACGTTTGTCATCACCCTTATGAAGACACCCTCCGCCAATTCACCCAAAAAAGAGAGATAAAATTAATCTGAAAAGTCCATAATAGGACTAGTCACCTTCTCAAACCATTGACACTCTCAAACATCTCAAATCTCTTCCCTTAAAGCCCCTTTCCCTAAGATGTTAATCACCCTTCTTTCGCATCGGCGCGCAAACCCCGTACCCCTTAATACCACACCAGTCATGATCACCTTCCGACTCGGCCTCCGACAGGCCCGGCACAAGGCGACGGCGCCGTTACTACGCTTTCTGCGCCTGGTGAAAACGTCTACGGTTGACTGGAAACCGGTTAAGGCCAATCCGGGCAACTTGTCGACCCTTGAACACCAAGCAAAGACCCCTATCCTCAGACGGTTCCTCTTGGCGCTAATGGTGGCGATGCCGGTTATATCTTTCGGTTTAGGGTGTTGGCAAGTGAAACGGCTCCAGTGGAAAGCCGATTTGATCGCCAAATGTGAGAATAACTTGGCGGCGGCGCCGATGGAGGAGATCCCCGCCGTGATTGACCCTGCCATAATTCCTGAGTTTGATTACCGTCGTTTCAAGTGTAAGGGTCATTTTGATTACGACCAAGAGATGTTTTTGGGTCCGAGAATGAGGGATGGGCAGGTAGGGTACCTTGTGGTGACCCCGTTTATTCGCGAAAAGGGGAAGCCTATCTTAGTGGAAAGAGGGTGGATATCGAAGGATCGAGTGGTGCCACTGACCCGTAACCGGGGCTACTTGGCCCACTTGGCCATGCCCCAGGGGGAGATTGAAATTGAGGCTCTTTTCCGACAAATGCCCACGAGACTGAAATTACAGTTTGAACACGAACCGGGCTCAAGATTGTTTAATGTCCACGATATTCCGGCGATGGCCGAACAGCTGGGATCGCTCCCGATCTACTGTCAGATGATCCACGACATGCACGACCACCCCGAGTATAAACTGCCAGAGGATGTTGCCTCTACAAACGCCAGATCAACAAATAAGTCTGGAGGTTCTGGAGTCTTAGGCCGGTTATGGCTGAAGCTGAGTCCCACTACTACCTCAAACAAGGCTGATTCTCAATTCATTAGTGCTCATGGCGACGATAACACCATGGTGTACCAGGAATTCGAGTATGTGAAGTCTGGGGTTCCCATCGCCCAACACCCAAAGCTTAAATTCTCAAATAATCATCTCCAGTACCTCATCACCTGGTTTGGTCTCTCAGTCGCGCTGGCGGGTTTGCTCATCTGGTCGTTTATCAAGAAACAAAGGTACTCGCTGGCGGATAAGATGTTGGAACACAAGCGCAAACTGTTCTGACTTTGATTCACTGTACATAGTAATTGGGGAAAGCATTCCGCATGTTGACGATAATATAAGCACATGATATTAGAGAGAAGCCCGTAAACAATTAGAATGAACTCCACGAAAACTACTCTACCGATGTATACTTAAGCCTGGCTTTAACCTGAAGCGTATGACGTCAATAGGTAGCCCTCTGGTAGCTTCAAGTGCAATAGAGTGATGTTTATTATTATTCTATGCTATTAAATCCTGACATCTTGAAAGAACCTGTTGCTATGTTTGCTGATAATCTAATACAAAAAGATCAGTTGTAAGTTGTGAACATCAATGAATATTACTCAATATTCAATGAATAGCCTTTACTAATCAAAGTGGAACCCTTCGATCAAGCTTGAACGTTTACCACTATTTTGCCTCAATTTCGGCTTGGTGGCGACACACTTCAAGGTAATCATGTACCACCACCGCCACAAGCTTCACCATTTCGTGCATCGCCTGGTTTAAATCAAGGGGCAGCACTACTACCAGTTCACGGACTAAACCACAGAGCAACAGGAACACGTGGAGGTCATTACCTCCATATAAGTGGCTTCCCTTAGCGAGAACATGGCAAAGGATGGCGACAGTACACTTCCACAAAGTAGCCAGGGCTCTAAGCAAATCACGATTCCCTTTGCTAGCACCAATAGCCACAAACTCAGGGATCTGGCGACACGGGGGATCAAATTCGGTACTACTACTCTTGGAAATAGTGTCAGGAAGGAGTACCCGAACTTGCCACCACAGGGGCAGTTTGCGGACCTGATAATCCAAATAGCCAAATACTTGAGTCCACGTCACCAGTGCCAGTTGGTGTAAGATCAGATTAAGCTTATTGTAATGGAGGACGATATCAACATCGCGTTTATAGGTTTCGGGGATATCGACGGCAGTTTCCACCACCGTCGTATCGGCATCGTCGTCAAGTTTCAGGCGGGCCCGTTTCAATTGAGTCAGTATTTTCACTAAGTTCACTTGGCAACACTCAAGCGCATGGTAGAGTTCCTTTATGAGGGAATGCTTTGAGTTGACTTTAACGCGGTGGGGAGAGGCGGTAACAGCGTGGACTCGGGCAAGTTGAGCTTGGATAGCAGCTAGCGTGGTTGGGGAGATTGTAATTGCATCCATTGTGGAGTTTAAGTTTGGAAAAGGACAATGTTCAGTGGTTTTATTGTTTCCGAAAGTTTGGTCTGTAATCTGGAAGCGTACACTGGAGATTCGGCTTTAAGCATTTGGCTTCAGTGTGGCTTCGATGGAGCTAGCAAACTGGCTCAGATAGACATCTATAGCATTGTCATTTTATTGTCGGTAGTGGTAGACTGTTGTTTGATTTCGATAATCGGTGGTCGCCACTGTCATATAGAAGCCACTAACAAAAATTGCAGACAGGGTGATTTGACAATTTCCGGAGATGATCAATCCGGCGGAAACTTCGTTTAGATAATCTCAATTGATTTGGAAGATAAGGCTATAGTTACAAGCTAGGTTCTCTTGATGATAATTATTGGTAGTCCATAAAAAGGGAAAGAATTTAGCATTTTCGAAGAAAAACATCATTTGAAAGTCTGACAAGTCTTTAGGGTAACGCTCTTTTCTCAGGGGAAACATCTTGTTTGTTTTTTGATAAAGCTTACGAGAGGTATAGTTTTGTTTGTCTTCCATACCTCATCAGTGGCAACACTACAAACGAGGGCAGTCTCAATTTATAACAATCCCGATTAGACGACAATGAACGTGCCACCGACGACATCCCAACTCATTTGACTGAACTAATCAAATAATACTTGACTGGAGATAAAAGTAATCTCAGCGTTGCCTACACTCCTTAAAATCCTGTCTATAAATTACTATCCTCTGGTGTTTACCTCAAACATATTCAGTGGTCAAGGTTGCCCAACCACCCATACTTCTTTTATATACTATCAATCGCTATTGGGGTCGATGTAGGCCACCTTGTTCACCGACACGAACCGCGGCTGCGACGACATCGGCAACTTATACTGCAAATTCCCGCGCAAAATCAAGTCGAACGGGTGCTTGATGATGCGGTTCCACTTGTTCCAGTTATCCTTGGAGTCAGAATCGAGTCCCGTGACGTTTCGGCCTGGTCCAACCAATTTCACCTCCGCCACCTGTGTCTGCCGTTCGCTATTAAACACTCCCCCAGTGAAACTAATGGGCAGACTGAACTGGTACACCAGCCCTAATACCACTGTTTCCACTGCGTAGTGGTGGGGGGAGTCAGGGTCATCAAGATAGCCCAGTTTGGCGAATACCAGCAAGTCGACGTCGGCAATATCAATGGTGAACCACCCGGGATTGACTGCCAGCACCGCCACGTTGAACACCAACTCGTCCAGCGCCACTACCGCCTGATCAATCAGCAGAATTTGCACGTCTTCTAGCTGTTTGGTGGTGGCTAAGATGAAACCAAGACTGAAACCGACGGTCATGATGAATACTACCGAAAGCAATGTGTAAATGAACAGTCGCAAGCACTGGTAGCGTCCACGACGGGCAAATTCCTCCGATTTGATGCGGTACAAGTCGTGGGGCAGCAGCATCATCGGGTTATGGTACCTCAGCAGGGCAAACAGCGTTTGCTTTCTAAGCTCTTTCGCGGGGTTTTGGAGAAGTGGTTCTTCGTCAAACGTGTCATAGTGACGCGGCAGCAGGGGTAGAAGTCCCGTAGTCCACGTCGGCTGCTGTTGCTGCTGTAAGGGGGGAGTGGGGTGGCCTGATATGGTAGCGCCGTGACCCGGGCTAGCGGTGGCTGGTGATCCCGGAGCAACGGGAGACGCTGCTGCTCCTGCTGCTCCTGCGGCGGCGGGGGCTCCCATTGAGAAGTAGCGGTGGTGTTTCTTTTTCAGCGCTAAGTTAAGCAGGCGGGCGTGTGGCAATTTGTGGGCCAGCGCCAGCGTTTGCGGCGCTGCTGCCGCCAACGGGGGGCCACAAAACAGGGGGACGTCCCCGGGGGTATTAGTGCCTGAGCTCAGCATGTAGGGGAAGCGCGCCTGGTCGTAGTAGATGAGGTCGTCGTCAAAGTCGTCGATATCGATATCGTGGGGGATGATCAGGTAGCGCCGCGGTTGCGAGCCCTTCTTGTCGAATAGCTTCAGCGTCGTCAGCCTTAGCTTCAGCAGCAGCGTCGTCAGCGGCGATTTTTTCCGTCGCGGCGGCGCCGCCGCCTGCAGTTTGGTGGGTGGGGTATTGAGCGCCGGCGCCTGCGACGGCGCGCGCTGGTCGCCGTCGCTGTCGTCGCCGTCGCTGCTTAAATCGTCGTCGGCGTCGACTTCGTCGTAGCTGTAGTGGTCGTCGTTGGCGCCGCCCACCAGCGCTCCCACCAGGGGACCGGGCAGGCCGCTGCACCCCTTGATGGTGGCCAAGGTGTCGTCGTTGTGGCGCAGCGCCACCGTCAGCATCAGTTTCCGCGGGCGGAGCTTGGTGTTGGCGGCGTCGTTATTGGTATCTGGTAGCAGCATTTCCAGCACTGAACGCACCAGGTGCGGGCCCAGGTGGGCGCCGGCGAACAACAGCGCCAGCGCGGTGCCGGTGCCGCCCGGCGCCCACTCGAGGGCGCCTGCGCCCAAGTCCGGCTCGGGGGCGGCGCCGTCGACCACGCTGGGCAGGTAAACACTGCCTACCGCCAGCAGCGCCGCGTCGGGCGCCTGCGGTTGATCGTAGACGAACGTCTCGTCCAGGTCCAGCAGGTCGCACCCGTGGACGGCCAGCGCGAGTTTAGCGGCGAAGAAATCGGTTTTGGTCAGCGCCTGTTTCAGGATACGCTTCACTTTTTGGTGGCGCTTCAGCTGGTCGTTGTCGTCCGCCACCAGCGTCACCTCGTCGCCGCCGTCGTCTTTAGCTTCCAGGGCATCGCCCATCGCCGGCGCGTTGGCGAACGTCAGCGGGCCGCTAGTGACACCACTAGCAACGCCGCCGCCAGCGTGTTTGATCCCTTTTTGCTTCGCTTTAAGCGTCCGGTTCAAGTTCAGGAGCGCGTGCTTATTGATGATGGCGGGCTGAGGCACCAGTGTCGGTGGCGGCGGTAGCGGCAGCGGCAGCGGCGCCGCTGCTGGTCCCGTGTCGCCAGGACTGGCGCTGGGACGGGGCCGTTCGTGTTCGGACAGCGCCGGTTCGCTCATCGTAGTGACACACACACAGAGAGAGTAGCGAGGGGGGGCGGTCTCGATTGTCAGCGCGCGCACCTAGTTGCTGCGCTGAGGGGGGTGAGGGAGGCCACACGGTTGGTGCCACAGAGCGAAAAAGATGATGATATGAGATAAAATTAGACGATGATTTGATTGTTTATGTTTCACAAGTGAAACGTGGGTGGCATGATCCCTGGATTTTACGTGTTTCATAATACACATCTGTCACGACCAGTATATAGCGTTTGGCTTGCCCTGGCGTTATCGGTGGGTGACGGCGTGCATGTGGTCGAGGGGGCTACGCCCTCCTCACAACCGCCACACCAAAGGAAAAGCACCATGGAAGATTTGCTCTATAATTAATCTCTATAAATGACCATGGCTTCATCCCCGAGGATCCTTTTGGTTTCTGTCGGCAGTTCTGAAACAATAGTGGGGTACAGTGGGAACACAAGTGCCCCTGTGCACTACGATAGACGAGCCCAGCTTACGACAATTTGGGAGGGAATCGCCGTGGAGGGTCACTAAGGCTGTGTTGGTCTCCAGGGGGTACTCATCAGATATTAATGGTGTACTAATTAATTGGAACTGGAAGCTGGTTATGGTTATTGATTGATGTTTTAGATGATGACACGAAACAGGGGGTGAAACCGACGGTGAAACCAAGGATTAAACTAAACTTGAAACCAGTCGTCACAATATAAACTCAAAGTCACGGTTTTGAAGGACAAAAATCTTCATCACCATCGTTTAACTTTAAATTGTGAGTGGCAGCCTCGTCGTATACATTCCAGCACTATCGCGATTTGAACCAAAAGAGCCTGACAAACTTGACAATCTTATAACTACAAGTTTCACATTCATCAGGTTCATTGAGTCTCTCATCAATTTAAAGACAGCTTGTGTCTTGTTTCCCCGAGGCCTTTATAAATCGCATAGACGCGGTCTGTATCAGACGCGGTCGACGCCTGGTGTCAGACGATCCTTCCATGGGACATTGAATTTCAAGAAAATGAGCCACAATGACTGGTCACGGTGAAGTAAAAAGTGTCGGATGGCTTAATCTGGGCGACGCCGCTGATAGGCAGCGAGGCCAATGCCATCTAGGCTCATCGACGCCCTTAATACTCGTCATTCCTATTCAAAAATAGACACATAGGTTGCCTACCGATTCGGGTGCCTTTGCTAGGCTACTACTGATTAATTGATCGAATGAAAAAGCCAGATTGCGTAGCATTAAGACCTGAAGTAAAGCCCGCTCTTGTTGGCCAATGCCAGATCAAAATTGAAAAGTTGATGCACTTACTACCCCAATGGAAGTCTTCAAAACATTGATTGTACATTGTTTCTTCAAACGAACGACTAATTTGACGGAATTTTAAGTTGAAATAGTAACGACAGATTAAAAGTCTTGAATGCTTACTTCAACACGATTAAGCGACCCAAAACCGTTTTCCTGGTTTTTGAAAGTAAAATCTACTTTTCTTAAGCTAATCTAGACAGCACCTACACTCCATGCAACGCTGACTTCAAAAGTGTGAAAGATGGTTCACGACTCTCAATCTATTCTCAATCTACACGACTTTGTCTCCAACTACAGCCACAAATACATCCACATCGACTTTCACATGAACATCTGGAGGTAGGAGTTGACGGAATTGCTCGACCCGTTGGTGGAGCCATCGATGTGGCGAAAGAAATCAGTAGATAATGAAAAGACCCTCAACGAACTAGATGGTGGCAAAACTAGCATTGGTCTAGCCACTAAAAAGTTCAATTGAAAGAATTTCGATTGACTTTACCATCCCATTTCCCTCCCTGTCAGCTTGTGATACGTCACATGTAGAGCACTAAAGTAGTGTGACACTTTACCTCTCATCCTCGTGTGACTCAAAACTATAAGTCCAAAAAAAAGGCGAAAACACTAAGAAAATTGTTCTCATAGATTGTCAACGTCAAAACAGAATATCAATTGCCACCATTACCTTCGAAGCTCTCTGATCTCTCACGGTTTAAGTTTTAAAGTTGTCGATTTTAGCGTCGGCGCTACCATACGCGGGGCGGGTGATGACGGGTCCAAAGTTAGCTGACGATCCCTATCCTTATTTAGCGAGGACAATATATGCCGAGAGATCCACTCCACCAAAGTCCCAAAAACTTCATAATAATGTTTCAACCCAATTTTTAGTATTCTCTCTAAATTGCCGCCCATCGAGTAATTGGTCACTGTCACCACTAATTAGTCATTCCCCCCCCCTGGCGGCCGTCATTGAAGCGACACCCGTGATTTCCCGCACAAACTAGTCTACTCAGTGTGCTATGGTACTTATCGGTGGACACACTACCCTCCCCACAAAACTTTCAGCGAGGTTCCGGTTAAGCGAGAACACCCCATCCTCGACCGCCTCTCTCTCGTCTGACCCTAACGCCCATACAAAACATGCCGGTGTATAGCGTTTCCCACGTCGAGAACGTGCGGGTGTGTGTGGTCATGGTGGGCCTCCCCGCCCGGGGCAAGCTGCTCATTGCCCAGAAGATCGTCCGCTACCTCCTGTGGCTTTCGATCAAATCCAAGTGTTTCAACGTCGGTAATTACCGGAGGGAGCTTGCCAAAGATGTCGATGCTTCCCACGAGTTTTTCAGCCCCACCAACGCCGTGGGCACCCAGTACCGTCGCCAGGCCGTCGAGGCGGCGATTGAGGCGATGATGCACTGGTTCAACGACGAACATGGCGTGGTGGGTGTCTTAGATGCTACCAATCTGACACGAGCTCGTCGAGACGAGATCTTACAGCTTTGTCGGACTAACAGCATCGAACCAATGTTCTTGGAACTGTGGTGCGACGACGAGAACCTTATCCTCCACAATATCATTGATGTCAAGACTACGAGTCCTGACTATCAAGGCCAAAGTGCTGATTTTGCCACGAGTGACTTCTTAAAGCGGATAAAGCACTACGAACTGACGTATGAACCCTTAGACCGCGACCATGACCGCCAGCTAACTTTCGTCAAATTGGTCAACGTCAACTCTCAAATCATGCTTAATCGCATTGAACTGTACTTGGAGCTGAGAATCGTCTACTACGTGATGAACTTACACATCAGACCACGCACAATCTACTTGCTGAGGCACGGGGAACTGGAGTACAATTTGACCGGTCAAATTGGCGGCGATGCTAACTTAAGTGAACGAGGATGGAAGTACGCTAAGAAATTACCGGAATTGGTCCTTAAACTGTTGGGGGAAGACGCCCCTCACACCAATTTGACGGTGTGGACGCTGACGCTCAAACGCACCCAGCAAACGGCGCTGTTCTTACCGTATAAGAAAAAGCTCTCGTGGAAGGCGTTGGATGAGCTTGACGCTGGTGACTGTGACGGCATGACATACGAAGAGATTGAACAGAAATTCCCTGAGGACTTCAAGGCCCGTGACGATAATAAGTACGAGTACCGTTATCGCGGCGGCGAACTGTATCGGGATATTGTTATTAGGCTTGAACCGATTATCATGGAGCTAGAACGCCAGGAAAATATCTTGATTATCACCCACCAGGCGGTGTTACGTTGTCTCTATGCCTATTTCATGAATATCCCTCAGGAGGAACTGCCGTGGATGCTGATCCCATTACACACGCTTATTAAGCTTGAACCGAGAGCCTACCTGACGTTGGTACTGAGATTAAAAGCCGATATCCCTGCCGTGTCGACGTATAAGGAAAAAGGGACCAGTCAGTTAGGTGAGGCCGAGGGGGCGAAACTGGTCAAACTGAGGGATATTATTAATGAACTGCCGTGTTCATGAAACCAGACATGTTACTGAGTCATCATATAAACCCACTAGTATCCATTCCATCACCTCATCGCGAGCCTTTTACCTTAACACTATATACTCTTAGCATCAGAATATAGTTAACCCACTTTTCATACCAAGTGTTAAATCAACTACGGTTTCAGAGAGCATTAGACAACTCATCAATGATTAAGTAGTTCACATAAATAAAGATTGTCATGATCATTGATACTCGAACTACTACCTCCAACAGGAAAGCTAAGATAAATGGAGCATAGATCTACGATAAAGTTTACATTTTATTAGGATGTTTACTGATGTTTTTCATTATAATACATACATTAAGGTAATCTTTAGGTGTGGTTTCCGCCTATATACATTAGGTACCATTGTATCACACCAGGGCGTACCGCTTCGCCTGTTCGAGCACCTTCTTCTCGTAGAGCACCTTGTCCTTTTGAAACGCCTTCCACGCCAGCTCCTGGGCCGGCAGGTCCGGATTCGGCGTGTTTAGCAACTCCTGGACCCCCAACACGATCTGCTTCAACGTGATGGCGGGACGCCAGTCCTGTTCCTCGTTAAGGATCAGGAGACACACCGTACCCAGCGGGTAAACATTAGGATGGTAAAAACCAGCGGGAAACTTCACTTTAGGCGGTTTGGAGGGGAACTCTTCGGGAAACTCGATGGTGACGGGGTAGACGGCGTTGGCGAACAGCGTGCCGGCCTTACCGGGAATACCCGCCGTCCACCGACGAAGGTCAAGCGTACCATCGGCGTTCTTCTGTGGCCGGGCGTAAAAGCCAAACGGGTGGTCCTTGCGCCACAGCTTGCGTTCCTCCTGGAGGCGGATGTCGCAAAGGGACATGTTACTGGTGTGCGCCCGCACCAAGCAAAAGATAAAGGAAGACGGCTCACAGAACTAGCAGAGACCACGCAAATGAAATTACCACCATGATGAAGCTATGATTTTTAGAAATACATCATGTCTATCATTTATTGTTTCTTCGCTTTCCCAGTGCTTCAAATTAGCATACATTGCCTCTGTCTCTCGTATATCACTTTTGTTAGCGGCTTTTTTTTTTTCACTACGACTGCTAGCGGTGGCAAAGCTTTTTTTCTCTTGGTCTGTGGTAAGAGTGTGAGGGCGCGTGTGCTAGGCGAAAGTCGCGCGAGCCGCAGCCCTATACAAATCATAAACAAACAACAGTTCGGTATACGTTTATTTCGAGTATGAGTGCCCTTAATACCCTTTCGAATAACCAGAAAAGTCAGCTTCGCCACGCATTCACGTTAATCGATGGGGAACTGCGAGATCTGCAAATTACCAAGCAGGACTTGGTCAACCTATACACTCAGCTCGGGATCGCCGTACCCGCTGAAAGTGACTTGGAACGCATGCTTACCGTCGAAGGCGGCGATGCAGAGAAGGGGATCAACTTTGCCCAGTTCCTGAATATCATGGCGAAGGAGTTCTCCAAGTTTGACTCGAGAATGACTATATACAACGCTTTAAAAGTATTTTCCCACTCGGAACAAGTACCGAAGTTTCGAGAAGAACTCTATATCGATGTTGATCAACTTAAAGATGCTTGTTGCTCAGTTCAACTTGGAGAAATCGGCCTGGGGGACCACAGATTGGACCGTAAGGTTTTTGATAAATTAGTGGAAGGGTTCGTCCAGGAAGAAATGGACGGCAAACGCTTGTTCATGGCCGACAAGTGGTTGGACGCCTACATCGATTAAACGATGCGAGGTAGCGAAGGACATTAGACACAGACGGATGATGCAAATTCGCTCAATCGTTATCTGATGGTCAGGAACACTGACATAACAGTGATTGGTTTGCCGAAAAACCACAAAACCGGACCCACGTTGATAGTGTCGGCGTCGGAGTAGTTTATTTCAGAGTTGACTACAAAAACATTTAGAGTGAAAACTTGCTCAACTACATAGTCAATTAGGACAAAATACTCCCTCTAACCACTACATTTTGGTTGCTATGAGGTCTGTATTGTCTCGGGAACCTGTACAATTACGCCGTAAGCCTATTTTAAACTATGCAAACCCCTCAGCGAAGCGAAATTGGCATGTTGTTGCTAAATTGATAACCGATAGTTTCGAGCACAAAATCGCAGAAAGCGGATTTAGCTCAGTTGGGAGAGCGCCAGACTGAAGTCAACTTCGGTCGCTGAAATCTGGAGGTCTTGTGTTCGATCCACAAAATTCGCATTCTTTTTGCCCTTCTCAACTAGTAGCTATCAACCCCCATCAAATTCCTCAATTTTTTCATCCTCTGGCTATACTCTTCGTGACCATCGAGGGGGCACGTTTTGACGTATACCTGAGGCTTAGGGGTGCGACGTTAGTGTCTGCTGGGGAAGGGGCCGATGTCCCTGTCGCCGTACCGGCGCGCCGTCGGCTAAGCCGAAGCAACCGCTGGGTCCCGCTAGGGTTTCCCCCAAGCGAAACTTTTACCATCACTCGAAGCTTGTAAATCTGATTCTACCAATCATCTTCTCTGCCAATTGATCTAATATATGGGTTGTTTTTTTTTCTGTGGTTTTTCTCTATTCTCAGGACTCACTTTTTTCCACCGTTATCGCTCGGCTCGCTAACACCCCCCCCCCCCCCNNNCCCCCCCCCCCCCCCCCCCTTACCCTACCCCTTTTAACTACCACAACCAATTGTAATGTCAACATCCCCGCACGTGGACCAAACAATAGACCATTAGCCCTCCTTGCTCCCTCTACGACATTCTCCTCGGACCACCCTTCCCGTGTATACGGCTTGAGGCTGGTCTCCATCCCTGACTCCACGTGGTGCACCCGAAATATAATGCGCCCGCCGTCCCCCTAAGTCAATGGGTCCAACATGGTCAACTTAGCCGCCTACTACCGCATCCTCCACCACGGGCTTCTCCTCGTCGACAATGTTGCTGATGTCGCCACCCCGCAACAGGCGCTGAAGGAACAGTACAATATCATCAACTTCTTGGGTGGTTCTGGCCCTTATAAGCAGGCCAAAGGGTTCGGTATTGACCCTAATCCACCTGACCAGTGTACCGTCGACCACATCCAGCTTGTCAGTCGTCACGGGGAGCGTTTCCCTTCGAAGGGCGATGGTGTTCGCTTCGAAGCCATCTGGAATATCATCTCCCAGTATAAGAAAGACCACGGCCCGTTAAAGGGAGACCTTTCAGTGTTCAACAACTACAACTATTTCGTCAATAACAAGGACTACTACGAAAAGGAAACTGACAGAGATAACGCCCAGCTGCCGTACTTAGGGCTTGACGACGCCTACTTGCACGGCCAAGTGTTCCGCAAAAAGTACGGCCACTTGATCCCTAAGAACCAAAAGTTCCCTGTGTTCTCGCTGAACTCCGACAGATGTTTCCACACTGGGGAAACGTTCACCCAGGCGTTCCTCGATACTGACGACTTGCTGAACGTTGACTTTGTCGTCATCGCTGAAAACAGCACTTACGGCGCCAACTCGTTAACTCCCCGGTTAGCGTGTAACGTCGACGGCGAAAACCACGACGCCATCAAAAAATACGACTTGCTGTACCAGGACCGCATCATCCAACGCTGGCAACGAGACAACCCCGGCTTGAACCTTACGGGGTCCCAGACGGCGAGCATGATGTTGTGGTGCGGGTTTGAGATCAACGTCAAGGGGTGGGGTCCTACTTGTGACTTGTTCACCACCGAAGAGTGGATCCGCAACCAGTACCGTGGCGATGTCGGCAACTACTACCAGATTGGCCGCGGCAACAAGGTGGGCCGCGTCGTCGGTTCCCAGATGGCCAAGGCCAGTTTCAAGCTTTTGAACGACACCACTGCCGCCAACCAGGTCTACCTCTCGTTCACCCACGACACCGACGTCGAATTCATGCTTACGTCGCTTAACATCGTCGACCCCAAGGAAGACATCCCCGTCGACCACGTCCCCTTCCCCAACCCCTACCTGGCGGCCGAGATCGTCCCCATGGGCACCAGACTCTACATCGAGCGTCTCAACTGTAGCAACGAGCACTACGTGCGCTTTGTGTTGAACGATGCCGTGGTGCCCATCCCCTCGTGCCAGAACGGTCCCGGGTTCTCGTGTAAGTTGCTGGACTACGCAAACTACTTGAACAGCCAAGTGGGTGACGTCGACTTCAACCGTGACTGTAACGCCACTGGTCCTAACGAACTTACCTTCTACTGGGACTACACCTCGGTGACCTACGACGCCCCCCTCATCGACCAATAATCGTCGACCCAATCGTCAGCCCGACTACTGCTGATAAACTCCGCCGACCGCTAGCGGTCTAATTGTACTTTAATCAAAATTGACTCAGGCCTACTGTAAAAAGACTTTAACCAATTTAAGCCAAATCATCACCCCACTGTGATCAGGATCACACCATGTGCTTTTGAACCACTTCGCTAAGCCGTGGACGGCATTCGTGTCCGTGGTAATAATCGGCCACAAACTGGCTGTCTCCACAGAATCGCCGTTACTAATGCCCCAAACGGTGCTTGTGGCCGATTGTGCCACCTTTACGCGAAATCGGTGTCGGCAGGGATAACACCAATTTTTTAAGTCCGCCGCTTTGTGCCACATTAGGCGTACATCGCTCGTTTTTGTGGGATAATCTCGATGGTAAGCTTTTCATTTATTTTGCAACCGCGCTCGAGGAGAAATATTTTCTTGTATATTGTGTTTTGCGGGGTGATAGAAATAACAGAAGCACGCCCGGAACTCCGCCTGTTTTCGATACATGGGGTTACGCGAATGTTTAGTAGTTTAGTCTTTCGAAGGAGGTTCAGGAAGATTGGCGTTCACGTGTGATTCATGTCGTTTTCGTGGCCACTTAGGGAAGGCAGAATTCGCGAAGTGATAAACACTTAGACATGTTGTACCACTCCAAATACTCTTCCAGATTAGGAGATTATGTAGGGAGAAATAATTAATTGAAACCCATGGTTCTGTGGTCGGAACTGGTGGACCAAACGTGCCCTGTCGGTGGAAGGGGGGTTGAATGACCGCCGTTGCTTTTTCGGGAAGGGCTCTTGAAGCATGGCCGTGTATATTGTTGTGTCCTTCCAGAAGTAGTATTTACGTCGTATTCTCGTAATTGGTGACAATAGCAAACGCTTGGCAACCCACGTTCGTATTGTTTGTACGAATCTTGTAGCCTCTCTCTCTTTCCCTCGTCATATTCTCCTAAACCATAGACTGTAGGTTGGTATTGGTAGGGTGGTAATTAAGGTTTTTTTTGAAAACTAGATAAGTAACTCAGCACTCTAAAGGTGTAGCCCCCGTTTGCTAAAACTGCAACATGTATTTTTTACAAGCAGTAGTGAACTATAATTAGACTACACTAACTCAGTTGATTGACTTATGGAATATTCCATAATTTGTGCGCTTTATTGTTGAAATTTCAACAGGCTGATTCACGAGTTCTCTGTGTAGTATGTCTTAGCTCAAAGGAGGCAGCTGGTCTATGCCTAACATAATGGGGAGAGGGTGAATTTATCCTGAAGATTCTGAGTTCAAAATGCGAAGGCAAACAATGTCAGGTGTTAAGATTCGCAGGTAGAAGTTGGTTTGGTTTGAAATTCTCAATAAACTGAATGAGAGTTCATTTACGTTGTTCTTGTTTAAATTCTTGTAATCATTATACTCAAAATTATATTACAATCAATTCATATTAAAAGGTATCAAAATACTGATGGGTGTTCTTACAAGAGAGCAAGAATCATCACAGCCATCACCGAAGTGGAGATCATCTTGGCAGAAGCACCGCCAGTGAAATCAATCGAAGGAGAGCCGTTACCAGCACCAGAGCCGGAGCCGGAACCGGAGCCAGAGCCAGAGCCGGAGCCTTCGCCAGCACCGCCGTTACCAGCACCAGAGCCGTTACCAGAGCCAGAACCAGAACCAGAACCGGAGCCAGAGCCAGAGCCAGAACCGGAGCCAGAACCAGAACCGGAGCCANACCAGCACCAGAGCCGGAGCCGGAACCGGAGCCAGAGCCAGAGCCGGAGCCTTCGCCAGCACCGCCGTTACCAGCACCAGAGCCGTTACCAGAGCCAGAGCCGGAGCCGGAACCGGAGCCAGAGCCGGAGCCTTCGCCAGCACCGCCGTTACCAGCACCAGAGCCACCGTTACCAGCGCCAGATCCAGAGCCGGAGCCAGAGCCGGAGCCACCGTTACCAGCACCAGAGCCAGAGCCGGAGCCAGAGCCGGAGCCAGAGCCAGCGCCTTCACCGGCACCAGAGCCACCGTTACCAGAGCCAGAGCCAGAGCCAGAGCCAGAGCCAGAGCCAGAGCCAGAGCCAGAGCCAGAGCCGGAGCCGGAGCC